CTACTCTATTATGTATTGCTATTCAGAAAAAAATATTTTAAATTCTTTTTTAGTGCGCTTTTTTTAAAAAATGTATTTTTATCTGCATTGGTGGTTTGTCATGGACGTTGGGTTCTCTGGACTATTTGAGAGCTGCCATGTGGGTACTGGGAATTGAACGTGGGTCCTCTGGAAGAGCAGGTAGTGCTCTTAACCTCTGAGCTATCTCTCCTGAAATAAATATTTTTATACAAATAGTGCTTTGGGCTGGAGAAATAGCTCAGAAATTAAGGGCACTACCTGCTCTTCCAGAGGTGCTGAATTCAATTCCCAGCAACCACATGGCAGCTCACAACCTTCTATAATGAGACCTGGTGCCCTCTTCTGGCAGCGGGCATACATGCAGGCAGAACAGTGTATTAAAGTAAATAAACAAACCAAAATATCTTTTTAAAACGTTTATTTTTATTTTATGTATCAATGTTTTGCCTGCTTGTATGTCTGTGTACCACGCGTGTGCAGTGCCCATGGAGGCCGGAAGAGAGCATTGCATCCCCTAGAACTGGAGTTACAGATTGCTGTGACTGTAGGTGCTGAGAGCTGAATCCCGATCCTATGCAAGGATCTTAACCCCTAACCACTGAGGCATCTCTTCAGCTGCTAAAAATAAAATGTTTAGCAGGGCGATAGTGATGAATACCTTTAATTCTAGTGCTCAGGAGGTATGGTCTACAGAATGAGTTCCAGGGTTACAAAGAGAAACACTGTCTCAAAAAAAAAAAAAATCAAACAACAAAACCAAAAACAAAATAACAACTACAGACTGTTGATTTATTCTCTCTCTCTCTTTGGTTTTTCGAGACAGGGTTTCTCTGTGGCTTTGGAGCCTGTCCTGGAACTAGCTCTGTAGACCAGGCTGGTCTCGAACTCACAGAGATCTGCCTGTCTCTGCCGGGATTAAAGGCGTGCGCCACCACCACCCAGCTCTTTTTTGTTTTTAAGATTCATTTATTTATTATGTACAGTGTTCTGCCTGTGTGTATCCCTGCAGGCCAGAAGAGGGCACCAGATCTCATTACAGATGGTTGTGAGTCACCATGTGGTTGCTGGGAATTGAACTCATGTCCTCTGGAAGAGCACACAGTTCTCTTAACTTCTAAGCCATCTCTCCAGCCCTATAAAAATGTTTTTTTTAATGTAAAAGAAAAATATTACAAACAATCTGCAATGTGTGTGTGTGTGTAAAATTCTGGAGATAAATGTGATGCCACACAGTTATAATTCCAACTTGCAAATTAGAGACATGATCTGACTTACAAGTAAGAGACATAGGGTCAGAAGTTCAAGGCCTGCTTGGGCTATGCACCCCAACAAGTAGAAACTTTCATTTATGAAACTTTGTTTTATGGGCAAAATTATCCATGCTATGTCTATAAAGTATATAAGACATATGACATAAATTAATTTTGTTTATGAGTAGAAATAAAAGACACAAGTTTTTGAAAAATGTTATAAGTTGAGCAGTGGTAGTGCACACCTTTAATCCCAGCACTTGGGAGGCAGAGGCAGGCGGATCTCTGTGAGTTTGAGGCCAGCCTGGGCTACAGAGTGAGTTCTGGGGCAATTAGAGCTGTTACACAGAAACACTCTGTTTCAAAAAACAAAACAAAACAAAATTATGAGAGGAAAGTCACATTATAGCTAGGATGAATCTATGCCAGGGATGAATAATTTACCCAACATGAGAGAACTCTATAGAAAGCATAAACACTCAACGGGGCATGGTGGCAGAGAGCAAGTTCCAGGCCAGAGGGAGACAGTGAGATAAAGAAACAAACAAAAGCTAACAAAGGAACACCCCACATTTTTATATATAGTAATAATCTCAATTAAAATTCAGCATTTATTTGTAAAAATCTGGTCATTGTGTTGTGTGCCTTTTCCCCTGCATTAGAATAGAGACAGAGGAGAAATTTTTTAATCAGTTTATATTTTTGATTTTTTTTTTTTTTTTTTTTTTTTTGAGGCAGGGTTTCTCTGTGTAGCTTTGGAGACTAACCTGGAACTCCCTCTGGAGATCAGGCTGGCCTTAACTCAGAGATCCACCTGCCTCGACACCGGCTCCCAGCCCCAGGCCTGGGATTAGAGATGTGTACCACCATCACCCAGGTAATTAGTTTAAAATATTTTTATACAGGACTTTATGTAAACCAACATGTGTTCTGCTTTTTTTTTTTTTTTTTTGTACAGGACCTCACTTTGCAGCTAGATTTGGAACTTTGTAGTTCTGCTGGTCTCCAACTTGTAACAATCTTCCTAATGTGGCCTCTCAAATGCTAGCTAGCACTATAGTTGTAAACCACCATGCCTGGTTTACAATCATTTAAACATAATAACCAATATTATTTATATAAACCATATTTTTATTTTTCATTTCTTTTTTCCCCTTTTTCGTTTCTTTTCTTTCTTTTCTCTTTTTTCTTCCTTTTTTTTCTTTTCTTTCTTTTTTTTTTCAAGACAGGGTTTCTCTGTGGCTTTGGAGCCTGTCCTGGCACTAGCTCTTTGTAGACCAGGCTGGCCTCAAACTCATAGCAATATGCCTGCCTCTGCCTCCCAAGTGCTGGGATTAAAGGCATGCTCCACCACTGCCAGGCTCCTTTTTCTTTTCTTGAGACAATGTCTCACTGCGTAGATCCAACTGCAGAACTCTCTGAGTAGACCAGGCTGGCCTTGAGTTCAGAGTGTATAAAGGTGTGTGCCATTACACCAGGAGTAAACTGCATTTAAAAAGAAAATAACTAACCAGGCGGTGGTGGCACTCGCCTTTAATCCCAGCACTCGGGAGGCAGAGGCAGGCGAATCTCTGTGAGTTCGAGACCAGCCTGGTCTTCAAGAGCTAGTTCCAGGACAGGCTCCAAAACCACAGAGAAACCCTGTCTCAAAACAAACAAACAAACAAACAAAAAACTCTGTAAACAAAACCCCAAATATTGGAATGATTAATTTTTGCAAATTTCTTAAGTTCTAGTTTAATAGATGATAGCTGTGATTTAGTTCTGCCTCTATTTATAGTAATGTGTTGTTTTGGTTGGAGTATATGAAGAAAACACTACCTAATATGGATCCCTGTTTAAAAAAAATACTTTTAAATTTTACGGCAGGCGAGATGGCAGAATATGAATCCCTGAAAACTGTCCTCTGACCTCCAAATATGTTTCATGGCACATGCATGCACCACATACATACACACAATTAAGTCAGTAAAATTAATTTTTTTTTTTTGATTTTTGAGACAGGGTTTCTCCATAGCTTTTGGTTCCTGTCCTGGAACTAGCTCTTGTAGACCAGGCTGGCCTCCAACTCACAGAGATCCGCCTGCCTCTGCCTCCCGAGTGCTGGGATTAAAGGCGTGCGCCACCACCGCCCGGCAAATTAATTTTTTTTTTAAATTTAAAAAGGTGTCAGGTGACTGACGTTTGTCAGTTGGAACACCAAGGTGGAATTAGAGGTCGAGCTGAGTCATTCATTTTGTAAAAGAAAAAAAAAAAACCCAGATGACGTCAAATTAGGTCTCGATCACCTTTGTCCTCCAACCCTGGTCTTGGCCTTGGGTGCGTCCTCACGGTTCAGAACCTAGATTCTTCCTGGAGTACTTTCTATCTAGATGCATGAGTGTATACATAGGCAGTTTGTGTCAACTGAAGAGTCCAAGAATAAAAAATAAAAATGTAGATTCCAGAAATAAGAATGTAGAAATAAAGAAACATAGAGTTATAAGTCTAGGAGAATGAGAACAGACTATCAGCAGCTTTCTCAGCAGATCGAGGATCAGTCATTCACAGTGAACTATTTTCTCAGAGGCTTAAGAAGCCTCCATTAGTTTAGGTCATTTCATTTTACAACTGGCTGTTTTATTTAAAATGTCAGCGCTTCTCTCTGCATACTCAGAGTAGTATCCTGGCTATCCCTGATTAACGACAGATATGAACTGAGTTAGCCTTTAGGAGACAGAGATATGTGACCTCTGGGTTAGGCACCGTCTCTGTTATAGGAGACTGGCGCCATCAAATGAGAGGCTTGGGGCTCCAGTATACACTGCCTGGAGGTACCAGGAGACAGTAGATAAGGTACAAACTCAGGTTGACTGATGAGCTCTGATAATGTAGGTTATAAAGTATGGCGGTCTATATCTGAGTTTTTCCTTGAGTTAGTGTGAAGAACTTCCTGCTGTCTTCTAAGTTCCCAGCCTAGGAATCAATTATTCTATTAATTTTCTGATGATATTGCTAGCGGTCCCTTTTTCTAACTAATTACTAAAGACATCTGTTTTCTTGCAATTAGTGACTTTCACTGTAATCTCTGAAACATATTTCACTATAGCTGCCTAGTTACCCATTGACATTAGAGCCCACGCCCTCCCTCCCCCCACCTCGCTTAGGGTCTCATTGACTGGCCCACTGCTTGGGGCAAGATCGTAAAAATTCCTTTGTTCAGACCTAATGCTTGGTGTACCTACTATAAAAAGATGGGTTCAGAAACCCGCCTTTTGCCACAGCCTAACAAACACCATCTCTGGCTGTGGTCTCAACTAGCTGATAAGCTTCTGTGCCCCGCGGTTTTTTTTTTTTTTTTTTTTTTTTTTTTAAGTTTGCTTCTGTTTTTCCTGGAACCTGGAATTCTGGTTTCTGGAATAAAATTTGCTTCTGGTTTATTAGACTTTGGAGGTCTGTCCCCATCTTTGCACGACCCCCCTGGACCCAACATCAACTTTTTTCCCCTCAATGTTTCTAGGCGTTTCTTCTTTTCAAGTTGTTTTCCATAAGGGCGTAGTATCCAGTTTGTCTTCCTCTACCGACAAATAGACTCGGCCTCCCGGTTTTGTCATCTCACGACGTCTACCTGGGCAAAGGGCTAAAGACACAACAGTAAGGTCTTCCCTAGGGGCTCAGCCTGGGAGAAAACCAGGACTGAACACCAGGGGGTGGAAACCTGCGCCTGGCGGATCGGGAGCCTGCTTCCGGGAAGCCGACCGGAAGCTGCTCCGGGTGCTGCGACAAACCTGACTTCAGGGGCCGTCGTAAAAGTGTCGTCTCCGGCGCGTCGGGCTGGCCACAGGTTTCCGCTCGCCCGCGGCCGGGGGTCGAGAACTGCGGGCATTCGTCTCCCTTAAGATGGCGGACGACGAGACAGACAGCGGCGAGAGGATGGACGTCAGCCCCGAGCCTTCCCTGGCCCCTCAGCCGCCGACCTCGGTGAGCCTTCACCCGCTAGCGTCTTTTGTCCTCTCCCCCAAGAGTCTCCCGCCGCGCCTCGGAGGGTGTGGGGGCTCTGCTTTCCTTGGCGTTGCTGGGGAAGGGGAGTCCTAGAATTGAAGGACCCCCCCCTCCCCGCGCGCCATAAAGTTAGTGGCTACCTACACACATTCCTGCCAGCCAAGTCTACGGAGTGTAATGACTGTCATCTATTAGTCTCAACGTGCTTAGACACGCACGTCTCTGTTTTGAAGTGGGAAGAATTGGTGCTGTTTGCTGTAGGAGCTGAGCTGAGGTTGGAGAAGGCCGTTTTTCGGTAGACGCATTGCTGACCCTTCTTGTGGGTAGGAATTCCGGACGCAGCACCTGGTGTGACATCGCATAGGTGGTTGGACTTGAGAATGACAGTGAGTGTACAGCTGTCATGTTCAGGTGTCCATTATAGTAGCATCTTGAGAACCCCAGGTCTGGCCCACAGTGAGGGAGTGCTGTCGTTTGTCACTGCCTTTTTAAATGTGAAGAAGCGAGAGAAATAACCATCAATGAATACTGGAATCTATACTTGGCTCTTGGGTTTGGAAAGAATGAGAAAGCAGAGGTAGTGAACACATTTAAGTCAAATAGCCTGGTTGTAGGGAGAATACTCACAGAGTAGTCTTAATGGTGGGGTCATAGCAAATGTTCCGATGTGGTCCCTTCAGACAACGAACTAGTGGGGAGAGATACTTAAGAAGTATTCACTACTGATCATGGCATGTTTTAATCAGTTTGTGTATGGAAAAGTGTGGGATATAGATACACACACTAATGCATTATATACACATTTATATATATATTCATATTTGTTAGTGCAGTTGTTTTATAGTTTTAATAAACTCATCCTTGACTTACTTTACCCCATCAAACATTGTTTTATGAGACAAGAGTGACTCAGAAGTGAGTCAACCACAGGGACTGGAGAGAATGTCTGTAAGATAACAACCTGAGGGACAGAGTTGGAATAAGGATATGTACTATGTCAGCACTTGGCATTCTTCCTCCTCCATCCCAAAACGTAGTTGAAACTCATTTCACCCTAGTAGTGAAGTTCAGATGAAAACAACTGTAGAGATAAAAAGGGATGAGAAGCTAGAAATGTTTCTAAGGGAAACCGTTTTTTGAGTGCTAGGGGACAAACACAAGGCTTTACGCGTGCTAGGCAAGGGCTCTGGTGGCGATAGTGCCATCCCTGCAACATCTTAGGCTAAGGCTGAAGGATCACTTAAGTTTAGGAGTTCTAGGCAAGCCCTGCACCAGACAGTGAAGCCCCATCTAAAAACATAAATAGGAAAGAGATTCATAGAATCATGTGCTTTTTTATTGTCATCTATTGTAATTATGTTGTAGTCAGAAGACTTGTAGTTTCTTATCGTCGAAGATGAGTAATGTTTATTTAAAGCTTTGCCATATTAGTTCTTTCCCACCAGCACTGTAAAACCCCATTAATAAAACCATAGAACATCCATTAATTTGGAATCGGAGATAATGGTAGAGAAATTGAACAGGAATCTGTAGCAACTTTTTCAAAGAGTAATAGACTTCTCTGGGCAAGGCATTTTAAGCTTTACAGAGTAGCAAGGAGAGGTGTCCTGCAGCCTCAGGGCACTCGCACTCACACTCAGTCTAGTGATTGATATAAATGAGCAAAGAATTTAGATTCAAGATAGGATAGCATAAGCGGATACAGACCTATGACTGAAGCCTGATAGCCCCTTTGGGTGTTTTTTCTTTTTTTTTTTTTTTTTTGGCTTGAATCTTTCTACTTGACCCCAGAGGTCATCCTACTTCCTGTCTTTTTTTTTTAACCGCTGTTTTCCATTTTGTTCTCCCTACTTACATCTGTTGTTTAAGCCAAAGTTGTTCAGCTTGACTCCTCAGCACCTAACCCCCATTTGATTAATTTGTATCACAAATCGCTGCTGGGGCTGATAGAAACAAAATAACAAATATAGCATAGCTACAGAGCTTTAATAAAGATCTCCATTCTCGTTAGAGTGCTTTTTTAGTTATAGTTGTTGATTTCCTTAAACTAAATTTCCTTTTTAGATACAGGATCATTTTATTAACATTGCTGTGAGCACTGTCTGTCATAAAGATGGTTCAGAGGTGCTTACTGCACAAGCTTGGACACCTAATTTGATCATTAGAACCAAAGTAAATGTGGAAGGAAAGAACCAACTCTACAAAGTTGCCCTCTGACCTTCATGCTGTGGCACATGTACCCACCTGCCCCCACACAATAATAGTAATAGTAATAATAATAATAATAATAATAATAATACTTTTTAAAAAATTAGAGTTAAATAATAGGTGAGGGTTATTGGACATTTATAAAAGCCATTATAATATTTACTAAGAGATAAAAATTAAAAAACTAATTTGAGTTAAAAAACTTCACCAAGAAAATTGATTCTTGGATCTTTGGTTTTGAGACTAGGTTTCTCTGTGTAGCCTTGGCATCCTGGAATTCACTCTGTAGGCCAGGCTGGCCTCGAACTCACAAAGATCCACCTGCCTCTGCCTCCTAAATGCTGGAATTAAAGGCTTGCACTACCACCGTCTGGCCAATTCTTGGATCTTAAATGGTTCAAGAAAATACATATTCATAAGCATGCTCTAGCAAGCTACCCATTTGGAAGTTACTAGTTTAGAATTGATGGTTGAAGCATCAAAAGGAACAAACTATATTTTTAAAAAATTTATTTACTGCTTTGGTGGTTTATTTTATGTGCTTTGGTGTTTTGCCTGTGTGTATGTCTGTGTAAGGCTATCAGATCTTGGAGTTACAGACAGTTGTGAGCTGTCATGTGGGTGCTGAGATCTGAACCTGGGTCCTCTGGAAGAACAGTCAGTGCTCTTAAACACTGAATCATCTCTCTAGCCCAATGAACAATATCTTTAAGGTCAGGTTGTGTGCGTGTATGCATGCACATACATATACCCAGGAATCAAACAGCCTAGGAAATAAGAGTAGGTCAGTGCCATGGAATGTAGTAGCTTTTAGGAAAGGGTAATTTATTGGATCCATGACAAGGATTGAGAAAATTGGAAATCCAGAGGGCTTTGCGATGGTCTGCCAGAACACCTACTTTCTTTGACTGAATTCCCTCCTAAATTCCGTTTTCGAAGATGTCACTCGGTGTGGTGGTGCGATCCTTTTTCTCCATCTTCGAAGCTGTCACTTGGTGTAGTATTGTGATCTTTGTCCTATAGCACACTGTATAGGTGATGTCATCCAGCTCTGCAGCTTTACAAACTATATGTGCTCTAGGTCATCTCACTTCTGAGCTTCAGAGTCATGAACTCAAATGCTTGCTCGTCTCCACTAGTATATCTGATAGCTGTTCAAAAAGAGAGAGCAGATAGGAATTAGCTGTAATAACCCGAGATATAGCTTACATTTGAAAATTATTACAGGAAGTCAGCGTATATCAATTTGAGGAAGATTTCAAAAATGTGATAGAAGCAAAGATACTTGCTTATTAAGTTTAAGGTCAAAAAACAGATGACATCTGTACCTCGTTTTTGATCTAAGCATTTATGGTAGATTTTAGGACTGACCACAGGAAGGCAAATCAAAAGAGTTTTGTTATCGTTGTCTCGGTACAGTACACCTCTGCATTAGCTCTTGAATACAAATATCTCTCTGTCTTTCCAGTCGTCTTTGTAATCTAAGCCACTGGACTAGGATTGTTGCCTAGATAACTGTAGCTTCTTAACTGGTCTCTTTCCTTCTACCTTTGCCATCTTACAGTAATGGGATCGGAGGAAGCCCTGAGTGAATGTGTGCTGTTGACATAGACAAAGGTTTGTCAAGGAACATGGCCTCAGACTCATGGGACAATGGCAAAGCCTCCCTTTTCCACTACTGCTCCCAAAGTGATGCTCAAAGCTCAGAGGGATGTCAAAGCCTTCTTCAGGCCCATGTGCATGTATTGATAGTGTGTACAGAAAATGTCCTCCATAACTCTTCTTCCTCTTCCCCTGAGTCATTTATGGCCTGAAGAGTGCTCCCTACAGAGAATGCTCCTATTGAAGTTATCTTATACCACAAACCCTGCCTCCATGTTTATCTGTCTGCAGTAACCCTGCCTGTCTGTGCTGTGTGTAATAAACACACTGAGCTGCAGTTCTGAGGTTTCTCCATCTGAGAGTCCAGACTGGCCTCGAACTCACAGAGGAACTCACAGAGATCCGCCTGCCTCAGCCTCCCTAGTGCTGGGATTAAAGGCGTGCGCCACCACTGCCCGGCTCTCCAGTTAATTTCAATACAGCACTTAAACAGAAGACATTCACTCTGTACCCATATCTGATGTTCTAAATTACAAATATTCATTCATTTACATAGCATCCTGGGAGCCGAACCCAGGGCCCGCTGCGTATGTGTTATTTCTTTCCTTTGCCTCCCCTAGTCAGGACAAGTCCCTGCAGCCATGCCGTATGAGGCCTTTCGTTCAGTTCATTCTCTACAGAGCCACCAGTGTAGTCTTTAAGAACAATCAGTTCTGTGTCAGTCTCTTCAGTACTTCATAGAGCGTCTGTCTGGAAAGATCGGATCGGCATGTAAGTCAGTGAACCATGGCGAGTATCTTTGCCACTTTATGTGCTGCCTTTAGAGGCTGTTTCAAATTTCTCTTGCCATCCCATCATCTAGTTTCTCTAAAGATATTGATCCTGTGCTGTAGTCTCTGAAAGAATTGCCTTTAAGCTTTAACCCATTGTCTCAGGTGGCTTAAGACAAAATATTAAATTAAGACTTCATTACTCCCTGGTGACTTACTATGAACTCTTGTATATGAGTTAACATGGCACTTGTAAAAGAAACAATAGCTATTTTTATTTTGGCTGATAAGTTTGGCCTTTTCTCTTTTCTTTCTTGAGATAGGATCTTCTTATATAGCTCAGCCTGCCCTGTAACTCACAATCTTTTCTTCCAGAATGTGTGCCCCTTACGCATAGCA